CAAGCCTAGATACTTTCACCAAGAAGGATATTACCTTACATAAGGACTAAAAAAAATTAAAAATGTTATTATTTAAGGAAAAAAAAGAAATAAATACAAAAGTGAAAGAAATACCCACCCGAATGTAGCAAAACTAATCGAGTCGGGTGGTTGCAGATAATATTAGAATATATCAAGGTTGGAAATAAAAATTACAAGGAGATTACAATATTGCTAATTTAGAGAAGTGAAATTGATTCAAACAAGTATATGATTATGAGTAACAACAAAGCAAATAAAGTAAATTAAAGTATGAATAGTTTACAGTTGGTTATTGATATGGAAGGTGCTACTTTAGTTCCATGAGTCCAGCAGTCATTTTAGCAACAATCGTTTTTTAGAGTCATGATTGTTTTCATTGTTGAGTAATTTTAACAAAAGTGTATGGACTTTTTTGCTAAAAGACCGTTTAGGCAATGAGCGCAAGCTACACGGGAGATTATTCCATACTCTAGGATCAAGTTTTGAAAATGAAAAGAGTTGTTGGTTAAGCCTTGATTTGTTGAAATAATAGTTGCCAGCATTAGAAAATCTCGTATTGTATGTGTGAATTTTATGAGATTGAGTAAAGAGAGCTGATCGATAATTTAGAGAGTGTAATGCCAGATGATACATCATGCATTTGGGCAGCCACAGTTTTAAGGTACAACATGCATGTTAACCGGTAAAATATTTGCAGAAATAATTAGTAGTATAGTATGAGCTCTATATTCCATACCATAAATTATCGAAGAACACGCTTTTTTAAAAGACTGAAGGATTTTGTTCATACGAGTTTCAGCAGCTTGCCCCAAGTAACTATGCCATAGTGTATATAGGGAGATATCAGAGAATAATAGAATTTGAGGAGTGTGTCAGACGGGACAAAACGTGTGATGTTGGCGATGACACCTACAGTTTTACTTATTTTGCAAACTATGTAATTAATATGATGTTTCCAACTTAGAGTACTTTCAATATGGACTCCCAAGTACTTCAAGTATTCCTTATCTTCCATGGAAGTGATAGTGTTAGTATTACGTATGATGTACGATCCTCGCAGTAGAGAGCGCTATTTATGTAATAGCGAAAATCAGACCTGAAAAAAATCAGGCCTGTACGGGATTCGATCCACTGACCTCTGCGATACTAGTGCAGCGCTCTACCAATTGAGCTAACAAGCCAACTGGGAGCAGGCCGTTAAGTTGACTCGTAATAAACCCGTGATGATAAATCAGATACAACGAATATATGAAGTTCATATATTTTGAACCCAGTTCATTTGGTAGAGCGCTGCACTAGTATCGCAGAGGTCAGTGGTTCGAATCCCGTACAGGCCTGATTTTTTTCAGGTCTGATTTTCGCTATTACATAAATAGCGCTCTCTACTGAGAGGATCGTGCATCATATGTATCTAATGCCGCAGTTCTAAATATATGAACTTCAGTATTAGTATTGTTATCAATTATTTTTAAGACAATAGTTGCTTTTGTGAGGGGTGGAAGATTACATAATTAGATTTCTTAGTATTCAAAGTAAATTTGTTAGCATTTAGCCAGTCAGTAACGTTTTTCAGCTCATTATTAACAACAGTCTCAAGAGATTTCAGACTTTTATCAGCATAAATTAAATTGATATCGTCAGAAAATTAAAGAGATGAAAATCAAAGATTTCAGAGCAATTGGGGATATCGTTTATATAGATTAGAAGGAGAAGTGGACCGAGAACAGATCCTTGTGGCACACCAAAAGAAATTTTCCTTTTCTTTGAGATATTAGGGTAAATTTGAGTGGATTGAAAACGCACTTATATGCCACGTGCATGCCAATGTTTATGAAAGACACAACAACTGGAAGCTGGAAAATAGAAAGCAGCATATCTGACATACCCAGGTTTAGGATAAAAAAGTTGATTGTTTTTCGCATAGATTTCGTCCTCGTGAAAATGATTCCAATGAGGATATTTCCAATCAGGGACACTACAAAAATCGAACAATAAACTACGGATATTCCAATTTTTGTAGCTGTATTGCTGAAGCAGCTCAATCTTTGTGTTCCATTCATTGCTGCAGTCAAGTTTGTCGACATCTTTGAAACTGAAAAGGCAGCGTCTACAGCTAGTAGTTTATCTGACTTTACATTTGCGGCTTCTTTTACACTTTTTATTAAATGAAACAAACCTGATCATTATCTTCTTTTTTAGTAAAATTGCTAAATGCAAAATCGCAATGAATAAAAACGATTGCCACTCAAATTCTCCCCTTGCCATAATTAAGTTGCAGTCAATGAGTAAACTTTTGCTTCATAGGCATGCGCAGGTGTTTTGATATCTTTTTGAATAGGCGGCTGCTGATGGTGTATTAAGTTGCTGTGACCGTAAAAATGGCCTTGAGGGGAGACACAGAGCGAGAGTCTGCTTGCAGACCACAAACAGCTGAGAGAGTGCGACTCCGCCGATAACCAGTTTTCTTGGTGGAACTCTTGTTTTAGCTGTGTTAATCGTTTGAAAAGATGAAAAATCTTGGAGAAAATTGATCAATATCATGTCCAGAAGATATAGATTCAGAGGTTGATTTGTCCTCTCGTGATTACTTAATCCTTTATATTTCTACCGTAAGTGCATTTACATGAGACAAGAAATATAAGTGATAGAAACCGACGTTTCGGTGCATCTTGCGCCATTATCATGGTTATATAATTGATGATAAAATGCGGTTTGTGAAGAAGCTAAGTTGAAGCTAATATTCATCCCCATAAGACAAGATTATCTTCAAGAGGCGACTATTTTGTTAGATCTTTGTAGAAAGTTCAAGATTAGATATAAAAAAAGGGCATTTTCAAGAAATGGTGTTAGAATCTGGAATAGCTTGTCTTGAATTGTGAAGTGCGCCGGCTATCAAAATACAATTTTGAGAGTAAAATTCATGATTTCCTCCTCCAGAGACTCGTAAAATATGACGATTATATTGAATTGTCTACTTTAATAGCACAACTATAAGACCCCAGCTTGTTCTGTTTTCTTGCCGTATCTTAAATATATTAATGTAGTTGTAATTTGTCTAGAATTTTGAATCTCTTGCTCTGTAAATCTTTTTATTTCATAATATACGTATTAAACACTGCCCGCCTCGACTAGCCTTTGCTGACTGCGGGCAGTGCATATTTTTTGTAATATTTTAGTATGTAAATATATCATTAAACTGTTAAACTGTGTTTGCATAAAAGAGTGCCAAGCTAATTACATGAATACTTTAGCATGAAGAGAATCCGACTGTACGTTTAATCCTGGTTTAAGATCTTGAATACACAGCATTTCATTAACAAGGCAGTCAAACTTGTTGGTGTATTTCTTGATAACATTGAAGCGTTCTAGGAAATTGTTCGGAGTAGCAGTGTTATCGAAGAACACACTTTTTTAAAAGAAGGATTTTGTTCATACGAGTTTCAGCGGCTTGCCCCAAGTAACTATGCCATAGTGTATATAGGGAGATATCAGAGAATAATAGAATTTGAGGAGTGTGTCAGACGGGACAAAACGTGTGATGTTGGCGATGACACCTACAGTTTTACTTATTTTGCAAACTATGTAATTAATATGATGTTTCCAACTTAGAGTACTATCAATAAGGACTCCCAAGTACTTCATGTATTCCTTATGTTCCATGGAAGTGATAGTGTTAGTATTACGTATGATGTACGATCCTCGCAGTAGAGAGCGCTATTTATGTAATAGCGAAAATCAGACCTGAAAAAAATCTAGGAAATTGTTCGGAGCAGCAGTGTTATGTTCCTTGGAATAACGCCTGTAAATAGATGACGTCTTTTGACGGTGTCCCTCGACGGGCATGTGAAGGTGGCCCTTTGTGTACCCGACATAACCTGCATCGCACAGGTCACAAAGTATTCATTCTTGCTAAAGTATTCATTTACTTAGCTTGGCACTCTTTCATGCAAATTCGCTTTAACTTAGCCTCTTCACAAACCGCATTTTATCACTAATTATGGAACCTTGATAATGGCGTAAGATGCATCGAAACGTCGGTTTCTATCACTTATATTTCTTGTCTCATGTATTTCCAAATTGTTTCTTGTAAGTGCATTTGTAATTTTTTTCTAGTAACTAGCTTTACGTTTTGTGCGTCAGCATTCGAATTTCTTTGATGTTTTACAGGCTATGTCCATATTGCCTACATATAAGCTTACGACCATGAACATTTGTTGTAAATCGTCATTATTTCTTATCTGCTTTCGGAACACTCCGTTGGTGATTGTTCTTCAGTAGGACTTTATCTCCAACGAAACTCTTCTCTTCGTCTTAGAAGAGATTCTCAGAAATTCCCAGTATTTTGGCAATGAATTTCTTCATTTTGCAAGAATTCTTCTTAATCTTCCGCTGTCAAGGATAACTTTTTCGGCTGATGCAGTTCACAGTTCATGGGTATCAAACGCTTTCTCTTGATACCGTTGGCAAGCTAAGCAGAACGCAGCACACATTGCATAATAATCAGAAAGGTTTTTCAGATGAGCAGGCATCTTTTGCACTCAACATGAACAAATTTTAAATTAAGCATAATTTGAATATTAAATAGGACGTCTTTTAATTTATAAATAATCACACAACGTAATAATCTAATAATCACACGACGTAATAAATTAAAGTGAGCCGTTTGCTTACTAAGAAGAACATACTTCTTCATTGGTCATATATAATTTTAAGTAAGAACAATTTACCTAGCCATGGATCGTACCTTTTTCAATCACACCACTGTCTATACAACTTTGAATAGGAGAGTTATTTAGAGTAAGTTATGTTTTAGCTAGCTTAGTTAGAGTCTTGTAGGTAAATCGAGGACAAAAAACTTTGGTTTAGGACATATTTAAGGTTGGATAGGAGAGGAAGATTTCCTAAAGGCATTTTTGTCCACTTACCCCATCACAGTAAGCCTGGACAGTTTCAAATAAACCGTTCTCATTTTATTTTAGGAAACTGAACTGAAACGGCGGCCATCCTTCAAACAGTTCCCAACTACGTCAACTAAAAGGCAATTGTCTACACGCTCATTGTGGTTGAAAGTTATCATTGTATGGCGTCAACTGGGTAAGAACGAGTGACGAGGCATGGAGGAATAGAGTTACCGGAGACCAATCGCAGTATTTGAACTTTATATAATACGCTCGCTAAAAAACGTCGTCTATGGATTTAATTGACGAAGATCCCGAACGCTACATAGAGCTCGAAATTTTCGCTTTGTTAGGTAAAATTAATGTAACAAACGCAACCTATTTGTGCAAGGAAACATAAAAGATATGATACAAGAAAACCCCTTTCGCAGAAACAAACAATGACCCTTTATGCAAAAAAAAGAAAACAAAAAAACAAAGAAAACAAAAAAAAACTGGGAGGGACCGAGATGAAAGCATACATTGAGACTGTTCAAAGACTGCATATTGCCAAGTACACAGGAACGTATTCTGTACTAGAGATCAAAGGAGCCTGTGGACTCGAATTCCGCCGTCTTCTCAGATCCGGTCTTCGATCTTACCGAGTACAAGGAAATTCGTTCGGAAGAGATTGGAGCAAAAGGGGGGGAAGGGTAAGGAAGGAAGTACTGAGCGCGGGCTCGTTTTCCGAGCATCTGTTAGTAATCAAGCCCAAAGAAATTGTAACTCGCAAAAAATCAACGAAACTATTCACACAAAGTGTTGAATAGGGATAATTTATTTTAAATTCAGAGATGTGAGTAGAAGGTCATCCAACTGACTGCATACAGCAATTAATAATTTACGAGACTTCAAACAGTCTCTAAAATATTGAAAATATTACAATTATAACAATCATTAAACAGTTTCCTGACAAATTGTACAATTTACCCTTAGTTGGAGTAAACGGACTCAAACAAACGTATTTACATCCCTGTATTACGGGGCCTTTGTAAGTAAAAAACAACTTGCAACAATTATTTACAATTCTTATGTACTTATATGATACCTAAAATTCATGTTCATTCACGACTTGTATTCACTCACATTCCATACGTTCACCACACTGAGTTCTTAAGCTGGCCACTTAAACCCTTTCACTCCCACGAATTACCAGGATTTCAATCATCCCCACACTATTAACACACTATCAAGCAGACTAGTGATGAAAATAAACCGAAGGGTTTATGCGGAAATATAACTAGACACTTAATTTTCAGAAGTACCATAAGAGGCCAAAGTCTTCGCACGCTCTACTACATTTGGATTATTTGTCCGATATTTCTCATGTCTCTCCCCTCCCCCCTCTACAATTTCAATGTTGCTTGGTGCTAAAAAGAAACGTTTTTGACATAAATTAAAATTTTCTTTTTGTGAAGGGTTAAAAAACAGGTGTCTGTTGCCTTGGTTGGATGCTCAGAGACCTAGACAATACACTAACAATTCTCTTTGTTTTCTTAAACTTAACGGTTTGAGCAAATCAAGAACTCTTTCCCCTCGAACGCTTTGCAAATTGCTGTTACGATCTGTTACTGGGTTAGAAATCGCACCTCCTCTGCCGTAATATTTTGACAAAGGAGAAGTTTAAGACATAAATCAAGACTAAAGCCTGATAAGGCCCTTGGACTTGTTCACTTCAAAACTACGTAAATGTTAATTACCAATTTGTTGCGCTCAAACTTATACCAAACTAAAAACTAATATAAAACTTCATAAATGATAAAATTGTGAGCATGCAAAGAGAGAGGCAAGAAATATATGTCAAAGGCTTAATTTTGATATACCTGACTACCCAGTTACTTAAGTGTTGCCTATATCATAATTTGGGGAGATGGTTGAAGTACAACAGTATACCAGAGCAGGCTGTTTAAAGGAGCTTCCACCTTGATTTGTGAGTAACACTCTCTATTTCAGTACCTTTTCGATGTCAAACTAAAATTTTGAAGTTCTCCTCCAATTAAACGGTTTCCTTATGGAAAGCAAACTAAAGTGTTTCGACATTGTTTTTCACAAACGCAAGGCACCTGGAGGTTTCTGTGTATCCTTATTAAAACTGGTGCCATGCTTAGCGCACAATAACAAGTTAAGAAATTGAAAAAAAAAAAAAAAAATAGAAAATTCTCCTAAAAACGTCCCTGGTCATTTGCAGTATTGTACTGTTCCAGGGCAAAAGTAAAACGTTTTTTGAAGCAATTAAAAAAATGAATAAATAACAAAAAAAAAAACAATACATAAAAAATGTGTACTTCTAAAATGCAAAGAGGACGTGATGCTGTTCGAAAATTAAAAAAAATAATAAAAAAATAAAAAATTTCCAAAAAAAAAAAAGCATTTCGTTTCAGCAAAAAACCTGTTCTTGACAACTTAAACATTTGTTTATCTAATCGAATCCTCTTCTCAAACTTCTACTCACAAAGGCGAAACTTGAAGCATTCTGAAACTTCTTAGATAGCTACGACAAAGCCTTATCAAATTTAAAAAATTCGCGCACTTCAAGAAATAATTACTATTCCTAAATCTTAACAGGTTCTTCTTTTCTATACTTACATATGCGTGTTCTCCTTTTGCATGACAGTCTTTTCGATTGACCAATTTGTTACAATCCTATTTATCAAATGGTCATAAATTATAATTCATAGATAATGTGAGTAAACCAGTTAATTTTTAATTGGAAAAGTCCCAATAAAAAAGGAAATTTCCAGAGACCCATCAGTGAGAACGTATGAAGACACGAGGGAGAAAACCAAACCCACTGCTTCAGTAGTGAAAGGAGAAAGATCGTAAATGACTACTGCACTTCCATTCAGTAGGTAGTTGCTTACACTGGGAAAAACGCGACCTTGAGACCGAACAAGTAGCGTCGAAGACAGCGAAGATAATTCACTTTTACATCACAGCCAGGATTCACAAAAGTCACATCATAGCTTCAAATAAGAGCCTCAGCCCCTCTCCCCACAGTGCATGGCTGGGAAGGACTTCTGTGTAACCGTTGCTGGTGTCTTATTTTTGGAAGTCTTTCTAAAGTTCTGATCAAATTACTGAAAGTTGGTCGTCTATCTGGCTCGAATGCCCAACAAACTGTTAAAGTGTCCTAGAAAAAGAAGGAAATGATCTTAATATGAGGTAGAAAGGTCCAATGGCGAGTGCTTCGAAGTTGCAATCCGGAACTCCCAAGTCCTGCTTTGACCACCAAGGCCGAGTTGTTCAAAGTGCAGATAAAGCTATCTAATGGATAAGTGTAAACAAAAGGCATTGCGCTATCTACCGGATAGAGATTGATCGAGTGGCCAGCGTTCACCACAATTTGAACAACCGGGATCAAGACAGTCGCTTGATTTTTAAGTTGTGTACAATTCAGGGTAAGTCTTCAAGGAATAATCAACGCTACAACAACAGCATTAATATCACAGCGTAGATGTGATGCTTGTTATTGGACAATGTACGCCTCATGCCTATGTAAACGAACAGTAGGCATCATGTGCGGGCACAATGTTGTCGCGCATTTCGCCGAGGTTTTTTTTTTTTTTTTTTTTTTTTAATGAAAGCGTAATACCAGTGGCTGGGTTGTTTCACAAATTTTGTCATACTTTTAATCAATTGGCAACAGGATTCTGTAACGTCCAATTTGGTCTGTAATCATGCTCGTGATTAACAAAATCGGACCCTCTCTTCATGGTCGTCCAAGTTTGTTAATCAATGATGAGATTACAGGCCCAGCTGGATTCCACTCGATACTATTAACATTACGAATCAGCCACTTATTACACAGTTTGGTAAAATCAGCCACTTATTACACAGTTTGGTAAAATCAGCCACTTATTACACAGCTTGGTAAAATCAGCCACTTATTACACAGCTTGGTAAAACGCATACCTTAACTACCATAGGAACATCTACATTTGCTAGCGACTGTTTGACTCCTTTTCCCACTTGCCAGATTATCGATTCAGGTATGTTTTTCTCAAATGGCCATGAGCGAGAACACATCTCATACCAGACAGTCCTACCAACCAAGACAAACATATCAGTTCCATTAAATAGTTTCAAGAAATTTCAGCTGGGCTAGAAAAAAAAAAAAATGTTTCAATACACTTCTCCTTTTGCACAAGTGCAAGTTCTTTTTACTTGTCCAGGTCATAACCTTGGTTGTCCAAAAAAATCTGACAACAACAACAACAACAACAACAACAACAAGTACAGGAAAAGACATAATCCACTGGAAATTAGTGGCAGTCCTCTGCGTAACGAAATCAAACACACGAAACTTACACAAAATGATATTTCCTTCACTCTCCGTTAGCACCTCTTATTTTTGTAGCAAGAAAGTTATCCACTATGGAAAAACGTGCTATTTACTATATTCTAAGTCAGGTAAAAATAGGAAAGGTTTGTTTATCATTTTGTTGGAAGTCCAATCGGACAAGTTCCTTGCCCAAATGGAAATGTTTTCCGTCTTAGGCGTTCGGACAGGCCCAGTTTTCCTGCCCTGCATTTATGTACCGCTCAGAACACTTGCATGGCGATCACATTTGGAAATCAAACAGCTGCTCGGCGAACTCTGAGCATAATATACTTTCTCCACACCGTTAGGGACCAGTCATTTTATTGCCCAAGAGGGTTGGGGGTGGGATGATTTCTGGGGAGAACACATGGTTTTCAGGGGGGACGGGAGAGAGATCAGTCGTCGCCAACAGACTATACTGGTATGCAAATCTACGAACTACAGCAGTAGCAGAAAAAGAAAAAGGAAAGAGAGGAAAAAGCGAGAAAGATCAGCGATGTATGCTTGCGAACCATTAGCAATGACTTACCCAAAGGCATACATATCTGTTGCCATGGTGAACTGTGAAGAGTCTGGCGCATCCTGTTGGGTTGTAAGCGAGCGAAGGATTTCGGGAGCTAAATATGGCAGCCATCCTTGTGGGATCATTAACATTCCTGGCCTGACAGATTTGGTAGTCAAACCAGCCACACTAAACAACCCGAAGTCTGTGATCACCACGCGATTGTATGACTCCAGAAATACATTCTTAGAACGTAAGTCAGTGTGAACGATACCTCGGGCGTGAAGATAACCCATACCCTGTGTGGAAATAATTAGTAAGATTAATAAAGAATACGTTACAAAGAGACTCAGTGGCTTATTTACAGCGCTTGGTCAGCTCATGTTGCAGAGCGCCGGACTGCAAGAGGTCGAGGGTTGAAGCCCCAGACCAGACCAACTGTCTTCAGGGTCTTAAAGTAATTGAGGAGAATGTGCTGAAATTGCTCTGACATCCGCAAATGGTTAGACGTTGTAGTTGTATAAGGACTAAAAAACCGTAGGCCTCGTTTCCTGTATCTTCTCTACTGGTTACGAAAGGACGTTTAAGAACCCACGTACTTCTCGCAAAGAGTAGGGAACGAAGTTCCCGGTGTTGTTGTTTGGCCTTGTTATTGTTAATCAGGCCCCCATTTAAACCAACTTTAAGCTGAACTAAGCCAGCCTGTCTAACTGACGCAAATAAATGGTAAAGCACATTTCTACTTGCTTACTTACCTGAGAAATTTGAGTGCATAGCTGTGAAATTTTATCCAGAGGAAAGTTGTCCTTTCGAACGTGAATATGCGTGTAGAGGGAAAACCCGCGACACATGCTGCAATCGGATAAAAAGAAAAAAAAAAGACGAAATGCTTAATAACAGAATTTAAAAAAAAGCAAAGAAACAAAACAAACAAATGTACAAAGAAAAAAATAACCAAGAGGAACGTTGCTACCGCCCCAGCACTAGCGTTCCTCTGCATTTCTCATATGCTAAGACGTAGATAGGTATTCAAAAGCGTTTTAAGGGTCTCCCTCTACCTCCGCAACAAGACAACGAGTTATACACTCACGAAAGACGGTAAAAACGCGCTACGAAACAGTTCTTTATTTTTTACAATACGTGACTTCTCCGTTTTGCGCGCCAAGTCAACAAAACTTACGCGCATTTCAGCCTCTCTCTACCCCACATCTCAGTGGTTATGTTACATAATTTATTACTTAATTAATCAAAGTAATTTAACTCCACCAAAAAAAAAAAATGTTTCAAAGATTTTGCACTGGTCTGCAATCTATCAATACACAACTGCATAGACCACTTTCATAAATGGCTGCCGTATAAATATTCTTCTGTTTAAATTTAAATTAGCCCTTCTGGCCTCGCTTGAGGTAATGTATTCTTTTGAATTTTGTACTGGAGAACGAGGCCAGTAGTGCTAATTTAAATTTAAACAAAAGAATATTAATCCGGCAGCCATTTATGAAAGTGGTCTATATGGCACTGGATAACTTTCCGTGGCATCCTATAACAAGGGAAATTATAACTGGTTATAAACGAAAGTGTCGCTTTCTGCCTACCTCGTTATGATGGCAAGTTTTGGAGGATCCATACATGCGCCCATGAACAGCACCACATTTTCATGGCGCGTCTTTCTAAAAGTTCCAACTTGGAACTTAAAGGCATTGAGTTGCTCCTCTGTAGGATTCTCAATTTCAATCATCTTTACAGCCACTTCACCGTGCCAGTGACCCCTGAAGTAAAACACAATTGTAATTGGAATTTAGAGAATATTTATCGTGTGGTTTGATCAAGCAAGTGAGATAAGTCCTGGGAAGGACTGTAATCGATGACAGTAGACAAGTTTTCGAAAACATGCGCAGATGTCATCATCAGATTAAGGCGAGGGACTGTTCGTTTGTCTTGCTACTTTAGTCGGCTTCGAGAAAACTGATTGGTTTGTTTTGCCGAGGTCTTTTTGACTATAGGATTCTGTTAGAATGCCCGGTATGTAGTGTGGGGCTACCGACGACTCTCCTAAATATTTAACTCTCTCCGCAACAGACTTTGGAAGGCTGGTTTACTAACTTTGAGCAGTATACTCTCACTGAACTTATGTTAACAAAGTACCATCGACCTACAAACGACATTAACACAACCAACAAATCGAAGAAAACAACCTAATTCAACAGAAAGATCTTAACTGACAGATCTGAACTAACTCACATGTTTTGAGTCTTACAGCGACTAATTTTACGGCCACATGAGCTTGTCACTTTCCACGACGGTGAGTTCTCCTCACGTTGTCGACACGTGAGTTACTGCAACTAACCCAGTTCTTTTCAAGACCTCTATCGACCGGACGACCACAGCGCGCGATCAACTGGTCTGGCTTTACGATGATATTCTAACAGGTCTATTTAAGCAATAAACGTATCGCATTTTCTAACGGTTTACCGGCGTAATAGCCTACGTCAGATACTTGACTTCTCGTGTGTTCTTCAAACATCCTTGGTGGGTTATTAGTCGATAACCCGTTAAAAAGTGCGGTCTATTGCTTACATAACATACAAATCAATTTTCTATGGGTTTCCCAATACACTAAACGATTGGTTTTCGACAAATTAGGGCGCTCGTAGAAACTCAGTTATTTTATAATCTTCGCTACAGATCTGTAACTAACCTGTAAACTTTACCAAATCTACCACTACCCAGTGGACTCCACGTGATATTCAATTCTTCAAACGGTATCACCCACTCTGACATCAGGCTACCTCGTTGCTGAAATACAAACAATCCAATGTTAATACTCCCATTTCCCAATTCATGACAGACCTAGTGGAATTCGTGCAATACACTCCTAGCGTTCTCTTAGAACCGACTCGGAAACATAATAATTTCTTTTCAGTCGGAAACGACACTTAGGGTCACGTCTGTTGTGCTTATCACTCCCACAAATGATAAATAATGTAAATATGTAGCTTCTCCATACAATATTTCAACAATACCCTCATTTAGGTAATGAGAAAAAAAAAAGTTATGAGCGTACGGATGTTTTTCTTCCTCACGACTTACTTTTCAAGAAAATGATGTGAGGGGAGGGGGGGGGGGGGGGTTGAGTTTGACCTTTTCACTCCCATGAGTGACCAACAGGTAATTCTCCTTACAATATCAATAGGATATCAAGGAAACAGTTGAAGAGAATAAGGAAAAGATATCAATTTAGGGAATAATCGGTTGACCCGATACCAACTTCTCAGAACTGACATCATAAGAACTGTGTGGAGGACAGTAAGAAGTACTACTGATCTTGGGAGTGAAAGCGTTGGGCTGAAATAATCTAAGCAATTTGAAAATTCCCAAGATTTCTTGAGTAAAGAAACAATTCCAGCTTTGTTTCATTCGCAGGAAGCTTTTGTTCTCCGCTGTTTCATTCAACAGCATTCTTTCAACCACATCAGGATGGATTTAAGTCAATCTTTTATTTGATATATACTCTCTGAAAATCATTTAAACTTAAAAAAATATTAATAAAGATTCCGTTTGTTTAGTTTGTTTATTTTTCTGAGTTTGACAAAAGGGGAGAAGTCAAATTTTTATGAATCTCAAATGCTCAGGAATCATTTACTCACATGTAAGTCCAAGAGCATGTCCTTTTTATTAACCTTTCGTTAAAAACGCATATAAATTATCAGTTAGTCAAACATGCAAGATCCTACATTTAAGTTAATTTATTTGACAACTTGGGTGACGCACGTACAGGCAAGGATTTACTCGTGTTAGCTGATGTTGAATGTCAGTATTGAGTTATTTCATCAGAAGTGGGTGACCATGCAATTAATAGTCAATTAAGAAATGAAATCTCATTTTTTCAAGTGTATATTATACTATACGATATAACTGTGGTTATATGATTAATTGAATTATAAACGCATTTTGATTGGTCCTTTCATATGATCTATTGGAGTAAAAAACGCATAGATGACGTTACCATTATCAACATTTTGCTTTTTTAACATACAAAACAAATAGGATCCATGTTGCCATGGGTTTGTAGAGTGGGTAAGGATCAAATAAGACAAAAAAAATGTATTAAAAAAATCAGTGACAGACTTGGCTGCGCCTCATGTGCCACTTGATTACTCTTACCACATTTTGATGTCATCTGGTATCTATTACTCAACAGACGCAAGACAACATGGAATCTATTTGTTAATTTGAACCCGGGAGAAACAGTTGATCGTGAGAGTGAGAGTGCTTTTGAAGAGGACTGCTGTCGGTGAAAACTACTTAACAAAAGCCTTGACGCTAATGGACTGGAGATGCAAACAAAAAGTAAGCCAAAGAAAACCGACGAGGGTTTCAAAATGAGCGAAAAGGTCCCTCTCGTTTTTTCTCTCGCTCGCCCGCCTCCTCGCTCGTCCCCTGAAGCAACCTGCCTGGAACAGACTACTACAGTTTCCATAACCTAACCGGAAGTCATCATCAAAGTCACGTGAATTGTCAGTATCTGAACAAATTCGCACCCACCCCTCCCTTAATCCAACATGAACACTGACTTGTTATCAGTTGACTATTGTTGGGTTAAGTGAGGGGTAAGTGCGCAGTTGCTTGGATACTGAAATTGACTCATTGTGACTCTGATAACGACCGCGACAGTTGACCCTGTCATGACCTATTTCACTTGTTGAATTATTGTTCCCTGTCACCAATAATGGAACTTTTACGAAAACACCCTCCACAGCACAATCAGACTGAAAAATCAACAGTTTACCTACGTAATGCTAGAAAGATGCATGTGTCACTGACAATCAAGTTATTTTTAGACTTAGTGACTGAGATGTGCATTTAGATTGTTAAACAAAAACGGTTAAAAAAAAAGAGGACCAATTGCAATTTAGGCGGTACAGGCATTTACGTCAGTCGATGATGTTAAATGTTGTACAAGCAGTGCTTTTGGAAAGGGATGACTAAGCACTTCCAGTCAATTCTTCACGGCTTAAAATGCATTACAGTGAACGTTTAACTAATACTATACTTCAGGTGAACGATGATTTCATTGTCTCAGCATAACATGGGTTCCAAAAGGTCAGTCAAATTCCCTCGAGTCAAACATTTTATGTGAAAATCACGTAAACATTACCACTCGGCTCCGGTTCCATGTCTTGCTCTCAGGGTCTACATCAGAAATTTGATTGTCTAATGAGTCAATGCCTGGGACATCCTCTCCAGACAAAGTCTGTCAATTGAAAAAAATCAAAGGTCACCATCTCTCTTCTTCTATGAAGCATTTTTTTTTTTTATTTAGCAGCTTTAAATGTAGATTTCAAGCTCTACCATGCGTTACAAACTGGGCTCGACACTAACTTTTCAACTTACTATCCAAGTGGCTGGTGACATATTAGACGTTACGACAATTTCAGTTTGTTTACAAGCCAAACTGCCTAATGGAAATCGAAAACCACTAGCCAAAACTGAACTTCTACTAGTCTGTAGGTAGTAGGCTACCGTTAGTGTCGAGCCTTGACAAATGTACATCTTAACAAGCATTAAGAAAGCCGACGCCAGAAATTTTCCTGCATGAAGACCTTTTACCATAAAATAAAACAAGTCATGCATATGGCCACAAAATATCCTAAACTATGCTGCTACCGACGCGCTTTGGTCACTAACACAAGTTTTGGGACGCTTTCGTTGAAAAATTCTCTATGCCAAAAGAAAACAAAAGCATTACTCATCGTGATATCGATACGAAAAACTTCATTTACATACACTTTCATTGCATATCAACAAACTTGTTGAAAGTGAAGTTTCTCTTTAACAATACAGTGATGATGACGACGACAAAGAAGTTCCAAAACTGCTTGTCCGAAGTTAAGAACTACTGCACGTACACTCTGACGAATTTACGCGCGCGTAATTTGCGCGTAAATCTGCCATCTTGCACGTATTTTACGCGCGTGTAGGTGCTGCTACTCCTGCGGCCGGTACTATACAGTGCAGAAGTGCACAAGTAAACGAACAATTACAGATGAACTGTCATACGGCTCTCTTGCCAGTTACTCACGACAGGTTTCTTGCGAGCTTTTACTCAAAGTATTATGACAAATCACTTACCGAGTCATTACTTGTTGTGGTGTTGCTGCTTTGCCGCGACTTAACACTTTCTGTCCTAACCAGGGTACTGGTTGACTCAATCATTTCGTTACTGAAATAGTGCAAATCAATATTTCTTAATAGGAAAATTAAATAATTGAGGAAAAAAAAAAAAACCAAGCCATCAAACCAATAAACACTACAACAATATCTAAAACCAAATGCATAATACCTATGCAAGGAAGCTGTCATTTTTGAAACATCTTAAAATAAGAGAGAGAAATCAATGTCAATACTGTGTTGTAGCCAACATCTACCATAATCTGACTGAACTAAGGGTCAGTACGATGTGGCACGCTATCACATGAGTAAGTTATTCAGCGAAAACTGCGACACAGTACAAGTTAGGGAGTTCAAAGCGAAAAAGCTTTTAGGTCTGGGAAACCATATTGTCATTGACTATAATAAAGCAACCAGTTACAGAGTAGTCTTGATAGCAACCCAATGTTTGACAAAAAGCCCGTCTCACAAGTAATCGAAAAACGTGCCTTTTTGTTTTGCAACAACAGCGAACAATATCGCCGTACAAGTGCACTAAGGCTGGACGGCTTTTTTCCGGACCGGCTCTGCTTTCACTGACTTTCTATGGAATTGCGCGGGCGGGGCCAGACAGGTCATTTCTCATATGATAAAATGAAGTTCTGAGTAGGTGGAAACCTGAAGCGGACTGGCATTGCATCCAAGCAGAGATGCGATATTCCTAGTTGCTTATCATATGAGTATTAGAGTTTTCATTTACCGGTGAAAGAGAAATGTGACTCTGGAAACTGGTCAAGTTCTTCTTGTGCAGACAGACTAACATTAGCTGATGCTGCCGGAAGAGGCGAAGAGGGTGGTGATGAGGTAGACGATGACGTGGAGCAAGAGTCAACTCCTTTTGGTGTTTCAGTTGGAACAGGCGTCCAAGATTTCTGGTCTACTGTGTTCAGATCACCGTGGCTACGGTTCTGGTTGAATTTCTGTTCACGCACATATTTCTCCACTTGAAGGGCGATACTGGATGGTTCTGAATTTGTTCTCTTCACATGTGGCCGTATCATCGGTAAAGACCGGTAATCAAACGCTGTTGGCGATAAAAATCAAAATCAATTTTGTTCGATTTTTTTAATTGAAAAATACCATTCTGAAGAAGGAAAGGGCTATGGACTGACAAACAAATGGCCTCAAATCTTATTTGATGTTCGTGAAACACTTCACTGTCTAAAAACTATAGTACAGCGTGTTTTTTTCACCCACCTGACCCTCTGCAACGAAGCAAACATAACTCATAACTTGCCAAATTTTGTATCAGTACTTAGCTTTGCTAAGAAATTCCACATTCCATTTTACTCATATGAAAGACCTGGCGACTACCTACATGTACAAAGTGGCAAATATCACGAAATGCTGTTACTCATTTCACTGTTTGTATTCTTTATAAACAACTCTCCAAATTCAAATCTGGTCTTTTACAATTGACCTTCAATGTACACGTAACAGTTTCAAAATTAAATTCGGGACGACTGACTTACAGTTCATCCAATTTTCGTAATATTTCTTGCCATGAATAGAACAAAACTTTACAAAATACAAGTTGTGGCCCGATAAGAAGGACTTACCTCGTCGCACTTGAGCTGTGAAAAATTCACTATACCCTTTAGGAAGCTTACAGGAAGCAGTGGCCTTTTTTGCACATTTCTTGTGAAATTTGAGCCTTCAAAAATGAGGAAAAAATAACAGCTTAACAGAGTGAAATCTTTCACATGTTACTTTTGACTGTGATAATATAGACATAATTACTCAAATGAATGATAAGTGAACAAACAAATAAACAAATCCACTACCTGAAAAGGAAAAAAAAGACAACAAAAAGACAACATATATCCACACTCACTTGCAGTCTTTGCATTTTACGCCAACCAAAAGAAGCTTATGGCAGTAGTCACAAGCTGGACTAACCATAAATGCCTTTTGTGAAAATCTGACCAGAAACAGAGAAAATATGGTTTAGTCAATTACAATGAAAACATTGGTGAAAATATCTTTCAACTTCTACACCCTAACATCAGTGTGCATATTAAATGACAGTATGCATTCTCCATACTCTTCTCTAATATATTAATTAAAGTGCTGACAAAGAGAATTTGTTCAACAATCAAGAGCTCCTTTGGTTAGTGATCAGTTCCTTTATTCTCCTGACCTTAATGTGTGATTCAGGGTTTGTATTGTAAGGAGAAATTAGTGCTAGTCACTCCTAAGGGTCAAAGGGTTCATTGAAGGACTCACTACTCAAGAACTCAGTAGGAGACCTCGATTTCTCTCTTTCACTCCCATGAGTGACCAAGACAAAATTTCTCCTTACAATATCAATACAATATCAAGCAGACAAGTGATGAGAATTTAGAAACAGTCATATCAGTTAGGGATTATTAGCTGATCCAATACCAAATTCTCCTGACTAATCTTGGGAGTGAAAGGGTTCAAATGCAGCCTTCATGTTTGGTTCAGAGCTCTAAGAGCTTGTGTAAAATGTAAGTTTCACACATTTAGTTTTTAAGAGCTAATTGAAAAGAATGTGCAGTATTGTGAAAACCTTGTGTAAGAGACATAAATTTTTCCACTTGCTTTTCAAATGCTTTCCAGATGCTTTTCAACTTGGTAAGAAATTTTTGAGTAAAATAAATTTCACTGATAATTGTAAAAAGAATGTCTGGATTTTATCTTCATGGGTCCCTGAGTGCATACAGAAATGTACCCACAGTAAATTAATGCTTTACACCCTAACACCAGTTTACATGCATGTATTCTCCATTTGATTATTCCCTATACATTTCCTAGAGTGCTGACAAGGAGAATTTGTTGAACACTTAGGAGCTGCTTTAGTTGGAGATCATTTCCTTTACTCTCATCATCTCTATGAATGACTCTCCAGTATTGCTGTTAGGAAAGATCTGATGCTGGTCATCTTAGGGCTAATAAATCACTTTACCTGTGTTTGATTGTATGTCCCATTCCATAGTGAGTTATCCTTGATGGAGAATTGTTTATTGCATGGGAACCTGGTGGAAGATTTATAACACCGATTAATATGGTTTACCAAAGCAGCAATTTCAAGTACAACAAGAAGATGCCTTGTTAATGACCACAAATTGGTTAATGCTTTATGGGTACACGTACTTAACTGTAGCAGAAGTTTGCCATCTCAAAATCAATCAATTAAAATATGTGCAAAAAATAATAGTTTTAACATGAGAGTGCAAGAGTGAATATGTTTGTGCAAGTTTCATAGTTCTCGTATTGATACCAAAATATTTTTGTTTCCATTGCCATAATTATGTAATAACCATTGTTGGTGAACTTACTTAGATTGTGATCCGACTCAGAGTCAGACTGAGAATGTAATGAGATCTCTCCACTTGTACTCTTAGGAATATTTATCGTGAGGGGAGTGACAGGTTCCAGCCTTCCTCCTCGCTTTTTACCACTATTTAGATATGGATTATCATTATTGTTCACAAATATTCTGTTTCCTGTTAAGACAAAAGTACCATGATTTAGAGGGAATTAGGATTTCTGTCACAAAAATATGATAATTATATTAGCGTTCAGTCATTATTTAAAACCCGGAAATGGGGAAGGGGGGGTGTCAATGGCAATGAGGGAATCATTAGAGGGGGGGTGTCAATGCCAATGCCAGAGGGAATCATTAGGATACTCCAAAGCCTTATGGAGGGATCAGGTAAATAACTCTATTGCAACACAACCAAAATTCTTTTAACACTCTCTCCCCTCCTCCCCTTCCCTCCTCCCCTCCCTCCCCCCTTCAATATTAAAAAATTAATGGGTCCCTAATAAAATAAATCTAGACAGGTGTACATGTGATTATGCATGATACACTTCCCACACTTTTTTCAAATTCCTGAGTAGCATTTCATACAAATGGTAAATTAAAATCCTTCTTTGCTGAAATGAAGCTTGCAAGAATTCAGAACATGCAAGCCAAAGCTCTCTGATGAACTAAATGTGACAAAGGATATGAATAACAAGCCAGCTGAACATGTAATATCATGTACAACAAAAGCCTGGCCTTTCTATAGTAAACTTCCCTGATCATTGTGACCAACCCCTTGTCTTGTAAATTTGGTCAACTCTTTACACCATAACATGAATAGACCTATTCTCCTTACTATTCTCAGACTCTATACATTTCCTAAGGTGCTGACAAGGAGAATTTGTTCAACAGTCAAGGGCTTCTTTAGAAGGTGATAAATATATCTTATTAATCATGCGCGAGGGCCGTACTGGGAGAATATCGGCCCGAGGTCTTGAGAGTACGGACCAAGTGCAGTGAGGTCCTTACAAAATAGACGGAGGGCCGATATTCTTCCCGTATGGTCCCGAGCAAACTTGGTTAATAAGAGATTTATTATACGACTGCAGTTCAAAGGGACACAAGTGCGGTATCATTCGGGACCATTAGGAACTGTGCCCAGTCCAATACTTAGAGAATATTGACCAGCAATAGAGCATTTTGATTGGTTGATTTTTAATTAGTTATTGGCCCTCTGACTGCTCGACTCATGGAATAATTGTTTTATTAAAAACGCCCTCAAGAAATTATTATTTTGTAAGAAGAAACTGGATTTTTTAGCTCCCTTTTGATTTTAAGCTGACGCCTACGCTTCCCATATTTGTAGATTATGGTATATTGGCTGATATACCATAATGGCTAAGCCAATAAAAAGTCTTGAATTGCATTATCCAATGGTCCAGTTTTTAATAATTTCCATTATTCTTGTGTCCTTAATTCATGTGATTCAGGGGTCATATGGTGAGGAGAAATTAGATACTGGTCACTCTTAGGGGTCAAAAAGGTTGGTAATGGAAACCAGACTGTGAAGAATTGAACAAAAATCTTGAGAAGCCCTTCTCAGTTACATTGGCACCTCTAAGAACACTTCACATGACAAAATAAATAGGTGATAACCAATAAGCTGAAGATAGTTCCTTTCACGACAGAGTCAAAGTCTTAGTTGTAACAGGAAGTACCTGTACTGAGCAGTACAGTCTAGTCAACACAATAGAGTTGGAAGCAAAAAATCAACACCACATTCACCTCTGTTGCTTATTATCTGATAAGAACTACCATTCTGCAGAGCTGGCATTATGATTGATTTTGTGTGTGTGTGTGTGTGTGTGTGTGTTTGCAACCAGAGCAAAAACATTCTCCTCAGATTTTGAGCATTAAATATCACAACATAAACTGAACAAAAAAGAAATGAAATGGTCTGACTGTACCAACTCTAAATCTGCTTACAACTCTCAAATCCAATTATTACGCACAGGAATGTACAACTCCAACTTGGACTCCATTACAGTCACATTTAAAAACAAGCCATTGGGGCTAAGAATGTTACCCTAATCACCCACATTCAATATACACACTCTATCAACCCTTTCACAACCAAGATATCATTAGCAATTCTCCTTACTGTCTACCTTACAATTCTTAAGATGTTACACAGGAGAATCTGGTCTTGGATCAACTAATAGTCCCATAACTGATATTAATTTTTCCTCATTCTCATCACTTGTCTACTTTATATTGTAGTGTTATTGTAAGGAGAAATTCTGTCTTGGTCAATCATGAGAGTTAAATAAAGGGTTAAAGGGGAACTGAACCCTAAAAATGAACCATTTTTTAAATTGCAGCTTATAGTTCGAATAGCAATGTTCGAGGGTTTTTTTCAGTCTTTGGGCCCAACTTCGCCTCGGAAAAATAGTTTAAAGTGGTATTTTGGCCTCCTAGTACGGCGGCTCAGAAAAGGTATGTCAGTGGTCATTTTAGCTTGCTCTTACGTCACTGGTGGGGAAGAAAGATAATAAAACTGTACTCTTCCTACAGAAATTTGGTTTGGCTATGAAGTTATCGAAGTTGCGTGACCTGTAATGGGGATTAACTACGAAATTGAAATAGTAACAGTTGTTTTTCTTAACTTGGTTCCCCAGCACTGACGTCATAAACGACTGCTGCTGACCTATTTTAAGCCGACAGTCTTACAGCTCCAAAAGCGGGAAAAAGGCAACTTCAAATTGAATTTTCTCGTAAAAAACAAGGAGTGAACAAAAATGAATATCGGCACTTTATCTTACTCCTCTAAAGCTAACTAGAAATTAATGCAAACAATATACCAATTTTAGGCTTCAGTTCCCCTTAAGTACTACTCCTTACCTAAATTCGCATCATCAGACACACTTCTTTTGATCATATTGAAATAAGCTGGTTGGGAATTCCCAATGTGCTTGGGACTCAGAGTACTATCCGTATCACTTGCTGATAATGTCGACAGTCTAGAACCTTCAGTATCGGCATCAGAGCTTGGTGATGACAGGGGCACATCACTGTCCAAGGTGACAGAGGAACGCGAGGAGCGGTCAGAGGGGCTGATGGAAAGGCTCTTTTCTCTTGTCTTTCCAGTATCCCAAGAATCCCAATATATATCTGATGTGCTGTCTTTATGACCCTGTTTCTGTCGTTCTAAAGTGAAACAAAACAAAATTTTTACATGATGCTAGGTGCCACAGTGCCATTGCATGATACAACGCATGCAAGCAACCTTTGGGTCCAAAGTTGGAACCCCTGACTCACAGAAGAGATTTTAAACATGTAACCTCTCCCTCTAATATCCATATATTTTTCAATAAACAGGTAAAAAGAATATTCAAACTTAACAGGTCAAAGTTGTTATGATAGTCTTGATCTAACACCAAATTCTTGGAACTTATAAACAAAGAAATGTGTCGCAGCATGGAAGGAGAATAAATAATCATATCTTGGGAGGTAAAGATAAAAACAGATCACAGGGTTCTTAATGGAATCTTGATGCACAGCCACTGTTTTACTAGTTTCACACCTAACACTGAAGCACATGGCCATAGGCCATGTATCTTGGGCCTGTAGGGCCCATGCTACCAGGGAGCCTTTTGCCTTCACTTCACAGCTGCCGTGTTGTAGCATGTTGGAAGGTGTCATCTGCGAGAGGCCTGGGCTAAAAATTTACAAATTTGATATGGCGACCATGTTTCAGTCATACTGTGGTTTGCTGACAGGCTGACTAACCATCAATACTAAACTTGATTATGTGTTCAAAAAGTCATTATTTTAGTTGCATTTGATTGACGAATCGATCTACTAGTCGAAGCCCTTTAACAGTCATAACACTTACGAGTCACACCCATGACAAGCGTTACAGATAACGGGTTCAACTGAGAACCCTGAATCAAATCAGATCAGATACTTACAATCCTGAAAATTAAGGAAAATTGTTTTAACATTGTCTCTGAACCCAGAAGTTTGAGAAGTTTGGTGTCATTTGTGATTTGGTTTTCTGGCCGTATGGGTTCGCTCAAATGACAGTGTAATCAAGTGTTCATTAATTGAAGTGTTCATTAATTGAAGCTTTTTCTTCCATATATTAGACACATTCCTTGAACATCAATGCAGTTATCCTTCCAGGAAGGGGGGTAGTTTGATGATCAATGATTCCTTTTCATCAATCAGTTAAGAAGTACTGAAATAAAGTTTCCTAATAGCAATTATCAATAGACTTGGATGGACACATTTCACCCATGGAATCTGATGACCTCTTAAATCTGATTTCAAGATTCCGGGATTTGTTCTATAAGGGTGGCAAAAATTTCCAGAGGTCATAGAACTTTTTTTCTAGAATGGAAGGCATCTTATCTTAAGCATTTCTTCAATTGCTTGGATTGTAATACATCATTGTACCTGTATAAGCCTGAAGATGTTTCAGAGCTGCAATTAACCTCCTACTTTCTTCTTGTCCATCAGCATAATTCTCCAACATTGCTTTTACTTTTTCATCAGACAAAGACAGAAGACCTTCCACTGTGCTACACTTCTCTTCCAAATTCTGCCAATGATAAAAAAAATTCACGTACTTAACTCTTATTAACTGAATTTAAGGTTCATACTGTAAGTTACAGATTAAGCTTTAACTACTCAGATTTATGTTACTTTGCACTGGTGCAAAGTGCATGGGCCATATACCTGCAAGGCAAAACTCTAAATCCCATAGCTTATGGTCCACACCAAGAAAATGAGATTCGTAAGATAATTATTAATTATTCTGTATATCCCTGGATTCAAAATAGAGGGAGACCATTTCAATTCAAACAAACTTATGAATTTAGTGGACTGTGCAGCAAAATATAGCCCATTAAATTGACCAATCACATCAAACGTACTTGCAGTAATGACAAGGCCTGAAAAAAATTCAGGCCCATATGGGATTTGAACCCATGACCTCGGTAATACCAATCCAGTGCTCAACCAACAGAGCTTGTGCACATAAATGATTTTCATATATGTGACCGGGCACAGGATTTCCTACACTAACGCTTTTCCGTTAAACGGGTAAAAACAAACGGTTTGTAAATGGATAGCAAACGGGTGGTAAGAGCGTTTAAACGGTTTGCATGTCCGTTTAAACGAATAGTCCAAAGCATTAAACGGTAGAGCAAAGTCCAAAAACGGATTCCGTAAACCGTTAAACGGCCGAGAAAAAAAATAAACGGATGGCTTAAAATGTGAAAAAGTTGAACAGCATCTATAATTATTTTATGGATAGCTCAAAACGTTAAACGGAAGGACAAAAACCTTGAACGGATGAGGAGGGCTAAAGAACAGCAGGAAGCCATGTACATATCGATCAGAAACCGTTGCGAACAATTATACGAATTGTTCATGCGGAACACTGACGTTTCATGCTAATAATATTCGACTGACAACAATAGAAAACTAAGTAAAATTAAATTACTAGCCTGCAATTAAGCTATCCACTGGTGAGTGAAGCGAGCCGAGAGAGAGTCTCGCCCTGGAGAGCTCGCAATGCGTTTGAAAATTTGTATAAGCAGAGGAAGCAATCTGTCAATCATACCATGTGGACTGAACATTCTCGACAGAAAGAAAATAGAATTGAGAAGCAAAGTCGTTTTTTTTTTTTTCATGTTCCTACATTGTTTCTTCTACGTATTGACTGAAATGAAAACGCACTATCAAGTGAAAAACGTTAAGAAATGCTGCTGATTTTGTAGATTTCACCGTCGGTTAATCGAAACAATTTTGTATACGCATGTAACAAAACTCAACTTTCTTTCACTCGTGTTTCATCTAGCATTTGATTTCGTAAAGTAATGTGTAATTACAGCTTTTATAAAGCAATTTCCGTTTCCTTTCAATCGATGGAAATAAAAGATGAGAAACTCGATAGCCACGGATTTTGTAAATTTTGCCGTACACATCAATTGACATAAATTTGCATAATCATGAAAACAAATCTCACTCTCCTCGTTAAACGGATGCAAGTAACTGTTAAACGGATGTATTTTATTTTAAACGGATAGGTTAACCGTTTAAACGTTTTGTCGAAAACGTTAAACGGATGAGCAAAGCGTTTAAACGGATGAAGAAAGCATTTAAACCTTTAATGATCCGTTTTAAACGGATGGTAAACGGATAGTAAACGGATTGATTCATTAAACGGTAAAGCGTTAGTGTACGAAATCCTGTGCCCGGTCACACATTCAGATTCATTGAATCCTCATTTTTACAGGTTTTATATGAAGCAACATAATGACCAGCTTCCAGTTGGCTTGTTATATTTCTTAAAATGCTGTGCATAAAGTATGATTTTCATACAATCATGAATATTAATTAACTGAAACACTACCATAAAAATTATAAATTTAAAGTAATCTCTCTCTCTCTTTCTCTCTCTCTCTCTACCTATACATGTATAGATATACTCATGATTTATTTTTTCTTCAATTGTTTAATTCGTGCCAAATTTCTTTCTATTTTTGTTCCTTTTCAATACTGTAAAAATATTCAACACAAAACAAAGTAAAAAAACTAATAGGAACAAAGTGGTTTAAAAATTTTAATTGAGAAAACATATACACCAAAACTAACTAGTGTCTACAAATAATATTATTGTTAGTCCAATTAGCTGTGACCAAGGGCTTACAATTTAAACGTCAACTTTAAAAAACCCTTAACAGGAGCAGTTTACATTATCAAATCAGTGCATAAAACCAAATTATCATAAGACAGTGTGTTAAGATGAGAAACAGCTGTGATGTCACCCTTTCTGTACTTTTTGAGAAAAATTTTAACAAAACACAAAAAGGACCTTTTTCCATTTTCACATTGCCTCATCTAACCACGTTTTGAATATTCTCCCAATTCACCATGTTTACATGAAGCAGTGTAAACATAGAAAAGTCCTCTATTGTTTAGGTTTATCTTCTTAAAATCAGCTTCTGCAATCAACATTAATTTACATATAATCATACTGTAAAAAGGCACATCTATTCATGATGCTAATTTTTTTTCCTCACACACCAGTAAAATAACATGGAAGAGAGGTGTTTACTAAATTTTTACAACAGAATCCAGCCAACATGGATAAATATTTAAAACTCTTTGCCTTGTTCTCACATCACTTGTAAAACAAGTTACATGTACCAGCTTTCCTTGATGTAAATGTTTGACATGATAACACTCAAACTTTCCCTGTTACATTCTCAGAAATATTTTTGCCAAAAAAACACAAAGCTGTTAGCAATTTCGTGTAATTTCACTAGCTTCTTTCACAGAATCAGTAAGCCAAAAAAAAAAAAATTAATATTGACAGAAAGTTCAAGTGATCGTTCAAAAATCCGCTATGGTGGGGTGATTGCTATACAAACATGGATGCACACAAAAACACTGTGGTTTTTGATTTTACATAAGAGGGAAAGATAAGAAAAACCAAATATACCTTGATTGCTTCTTCATTGATTCCTACCACCTGCAGCCATTGTTCTAGTTTAGGATAATAACGGAGTTTTTCGCAGTCATTCCAATCTTCGTTGCACTTATGCTTTGCAACGAGCTGCCTCGAAAACAGTTTGACGAGCTTTCCCTTTAAAGAAAATGAATAAAATTAAGAAATATAACGGTGGTAACATGTAGTGATAAAAGTAATTATTCAAAGTCTTTCAGAGCTCGTACAGGTGTTAAATTTAAACTCTTCAGGCATTCAATTGATTTCCACAAGAATTATTATAACATGTACAATCTAAGATAATAAATTTTCATGATCCAATATACACAATTTCCCTTACAGACGTATTTACAAAAATAATATTTTTTCCTGTGGCAGAAAAGTTGGTTTTACGGAATGGTTGCCTCAAGACAAACTTCATTTAATCTCGTAGCCAATATCTTCAAATTTTTACAACTGTTAATGAATCTCCGAAGAAATAATCGAGGCGCGAACGAGTATTTAATACTGCAGCACAGATAACTTATAATCCTGCGCGACGAGAAAGCGTCATTTCAGTGTCCAAGATGCTGCGTAGGCGATGGTCAAACGTTTTCTAGGGCAACCACGAACGAGTGCCCAAGATTTCGTGTCAAGATTCGCTATAACGTAAACATCAATAAAAACAGCTACTCTTGAAGTCACGTAGGAAACGGAATCATACAGCAAACAAGTTGAAAATCTTAACACCGGCATGTCGATAAAGACATAAACACGTTTACAGTCATACATAATGGCATATACTTGAAAGTAAAATTATAAATGAATACTTCAGGATCAAGTTATACATTAAGCGTAGGCGGGATGTCTGGCATCAATATAATAAAGATCTCAAGCTAAAAACGTTCAACGCACGCCAATTTTGTTATCCGCGATCTGGCGATCGACTGCCGTATAATGAATCACTTCCAAAAGATCTCCATGCACTCCAACCAGAATCGTAAAAGTTATAAAGTTTACCTCTAATGTGCGAATTTCCTGCTGGATCAAGTCACTGTTGGTGGAGAACTGTGTCCGTAGACTGTTCAAGCTGGAGGCGTTTATGTCTATCATACCCTGTACTAGCTGGATCTGCTCGAGTACCTTCGAGACCGCCAGTCCGTTGGTCGACATTTTGACTGTTTTCAGTCTCTTGATTGCCCGCAGCTTACGTTTGCAAATAGGAGAGAAATAAATCACAAAATTTTAGTATGTAGCGCTTGTGTACAGCTTGATAGAGAATCATTTTTGTCCCGGGAAAATTAGTTCCTTTCCTCCATGATTTCATCGATAAAACTTTCCGAATGCGACCTAACGAGACACTGGGCTCAAGGCACGTGATGTGGGAAAATCTGGGGGGAGGGGAGGGAGGGTACGTTTACGAAAGGGTCAGGGAATATATATAAGGAAAGAATATGGGATATTCTTATCTATATCTACGCGACCCTATGTAAGGTCCTCTCTTGAATATTGTGAAAATAGTTCCTCCATGGGAGCTCTCCCAACCTCCTGAAAATTTCTCCCATCAGTTTAAGAAGCAAGCGCGTTACGATTGAAGTTGTGACCGTTCCCGTTCATCACCAAAACAAATTTGGCACGATCCGGAAACCCAAACCCGATCTCATATAGCCTTGACAAGTGGATGGTGAGCAAATTACGTAAAGTACAAGTAGATTTTTCAACCGTCATTTCTAAAAATATATCCTGGGGCAAGTTCCGTATTGCGACCGGAGGGAGAATAAATACAGACATAACCAACAGCGGGGAGACCGTGAGGGGGCTGAGGAGGGAGGGGTGGGGGTGAGGGGTAGCTTACGGGACGGACCTGGCACAGGGATAATACTGCAGTTATATCCGGTGGGTCACTCATCAGTAAGCTTATTCAAACTGTCAGAAAATGATGTTTTGTTTGTTAAAATACAAGATTTAAGATCACGCCTGCCTACAGCTTCTCCTGCCCAGCTCAGGCCGAAACCACACGTGTTTTGTGGGATTTCTAACCATGTGAATAAACTTTATAGCTCCCCACCCCTCCCCCCACCTCAATTCGCGTTAGTGTACCAGCTAGACCAAGTAAAACCCAGATATGGCAGCCTGTGTGAAATTGTTGTGTTCAAGGATCAGAGGGACAGAATCTCTGTCTGCCCCCCCTTCCCCCAACTAAAAATAGCATTTTTGCAACGGAAATCGGAAGTACATTAAGCCTTTCAATCCTAAAGGTAAATAGTTATATTTAGACTTTCAAATCATAAAATAGCAATCGATGATGTTTAGCACGGCAACCTGTCCATTAGTAAACATAAGCAACACAGTTCAAACAGTTTACGTAGGCTAATAGAATTTTGTCCACAAACTTCCGATGTTCGAGTTATTTCAGACTAGGGTTCCGTTCTTATAAATACAGGCTTTGATACAACTTCAATAAGCCTCAAATTCCGAAGAATAAAACACTTTTGTAACCTCACAATTCTGGTTAAGGAAATGACCAGTATCTGAGCGATAGAGCTGCAACCGTCTGATATTTTCGAGCATAGCTTTTTATGTCGCGTCGACCCCGACAAAGCCGTATTTACATCCAGGGTTCCGTTCTTACAAATGAAAGCTTTGAAACAACTTTGAAAAAGCCCTAAGTTCCGAAGAATAAAACAGTTTTCTAACCCCACGTTTCTGGTTAAGGAAATGGGACCAGAGCGATCGAGCTGCAACCATCAGGATATTTTCGAGCAAAACTTTGTCGCGTCGATCGTGACAAAGCCGTATTTATACCTTTTGGTTTCAAAGTGATCAAATCAACTTTCACCTAAGCTTTCTAACTCGTTCAGGGTAGCGTTGAACTAAAAAAAAAAATCTTGCACGTCTTTCTACTTTTTCAGCGCCTTCTGTTTAATGGACCCACACAGCATAATTTTAGGTCTTTTCACCAACGTGTAAAACTTTCAGATATCACTCCCAACGCAGTAAGTTACCATAGTAACACTTCAGCCGCTTCAAGCACCTTTAATTTTAACTTTAATCGGCGTTTTAAGTCTAAACGGATTGAGATGCGCTCATTGATTTTCATTATTTATTTTTTTAAACTCTAATCTACTACTGGGATCTGTAGATCATTATGACAATGTTCAAGAAATTGTACAGAACATTTTAATGACCACAAGCTCATTAACCATGGGAACAAACTGATCACATTATCAGTAAGTCAATTAAAAAATTATTTTTTTACAAAATAAGATTTCAGTGGTGTCAAAAAATAATGTTAGCGAAATAATGAAAACGCTTGTTGTCATCTAAAGACTCTACACCGCACAATTATCGGTCCGTCTGGGCCTCTGCGCTAATATTGGCTTCTCTATATGGTACGGCTCCAAAATATACCGAACATCTCTACGGAGGTGCAACCACAAATACAATACATGAAAGTGATGAATGGAAAGTATTCGCTTGTTTGGGCATGTTAAAAAACGGAAATATTGTTGCTTTCCCAAAAAAATTTGGCCAGAGGCCAGCTTTGTTCGAAGTAAATTGTTGCATATGCTCTACATTTTTTCCTTGAACGTTTGAATTAATTTCGCTTTACTATCCTAACCATTGAGAATTCCAGCCTTGACTTACTATGCTTGCGACCGAGTCTAAAATTATAGAAAAACTATCATCCCCTTGAGGTAATAGATTCAAAAGACACAAACTGAAATGATCGATGGGTTTTGGGCATTTTGAAAACCGCAGTGTCACTGTCCGGAACCGGGTAAGGAAACAGAGGGCACTTCATTTAAATATGTACAAAGAATATTGATAAATTACATAATGGACCCTAGCAGCTTTATTATCAGAATTTCAGAGCTGATTCCTTTGTCAATTAAACTAACTGGTTTGAACACGAAGTTCCAAATTGTACAGTCGCGTCGATTCTGCGAGTTCAATTTTTTTTTTAGTACAGATGAATGCAATTTTGTGTCAAAAGAATCGTTTCGATGTAAATGCGCGCGCCCTTTTCACAGACAGCCGGGTTCAAAACCACCTGTTCTTTCCAAAGACTTCCGCTTGAGTTCGCTGAGCTCAGTTTGATGCTTTCAAACCGTTGGAAATATACATCATCTTAAAGTAAAATGCATAATGGTTCAAAGTTATCTCTCTGCGTGATCATTTATCGGGTTCATATCATTCATTTTCATTCACAAATTTCAAACATCAGACTCGCTGTTGGTACACATTCCTACCCATCATAAGAAATACTTTTTATCCGAACAAAAGACTCGTAGCAATTAATCATTTTGTCTCTTGGTGATCAATATATCGAGAAAATGACGACAATCTAATGTTTTTTCGCATTCATTGTGTATCAGTTTGTAGCTTCCATTTCCTGAAAGTGAATGCATCGCCCACTTAATCGTGCTGGTTCTTTTCCTAATGTTGTATATCATAGCGCATAGATAAGAGCTGGAAAATTGAATAAACGATTCACCCGCGCACGAATATTCGCTCACACTCCACTATGAAGTTGATAAAATCTTTACTTGTTGCAAGGAAGCAAGTTGTTTTTTTAATCGCGTTTGATAAGACCAACTGAAGTATAATCCGTTCAAATTAACCAGCCGATTGACGCGAAACTAATTCAGAGCAATAGATATCGTACTTCAAAAATGCATATCATACTTTTAGATTTTGGAAACCGAAATTATAACTGAATAGCAACAAAACAAATAACTTACAGGATTAAAAGCCTTTTGCCCGAAATCCGATTTTCATAGCTTTTCGTGCAGTTTAGTTTTTTGCAAAGCAAACGATAAAATAGACCATTGCGTTTAAATCCGAGGTTAAGCTTTAAGCATAAGTATTCTACATGTGACAATGTATACTTGAACTAATATCAGTGACTCTTTAGTAGAAAAAGAAAATAACCCATTTACCTCAGAGTTTGCCGGATACGATGCTCGACGTTTCGAACCATCAAGGCCATCCAGTATGCTATCAATACTTCGATTTAAGCCATGTGAACTGAGACGATACCTCCTTTGGCGACCGGGGACAAGTTTATGGATCAGATGTAACGCCTCCATGACAAATAAAGGCACTGATGCAAGTCTTATGTCACTGTATTTTTTTCTTAAAATCTCGACTATGAAATCTTATTCACTTTGACAAACACACAGTCCGCGAGGTTTGTTCGCATGATTGCTGCAAAACTCTTTCTGAGATGATAAGTAATCGGCCACCACTAATTACTCCTTGAATTAGCGAGTCGATCGATTCGAAACCGCCGTATCAATGAGAAAACTTCTGTTAATAACCGACTTTCCAAACGTCTGCCGCACTATGGATTGTCTTAGCTTGTGCAGTCGCTGGGACCAGTTCGAATATGTATTACCTCTGAAACGACCAGAAGGATTGACAGATAAAATAACCGGCGAAAATCGTCGAAAATCTGAATTGGTTGGTGTAGCTAGTAGCAACCATCCAACTAAAAATGGCGTTTATCAGCCCATCAAAGTTCGTCTTGTAAGCTTCAAAACTCCAACAATATCAACCTGATTTGCAAAACACACGGGTGCCTGCCAGAAGATATTTTGATGACAACAGGACGAAACTCGCAGGTGCCCGGGAGTATATTGAAAGACAATAATGGTATAATGGTTATACTACAGCACGCTGTTCATGGATCACTGATCGATGTGCTTTGTGGGATAATCGGGTTTTGTGTTATTTCAAGCCCCGAAGAAATATCTGTGCGTTTTTTTTCAGTCCAGACTGGTAATAGACATATAAGGGCCTTTCGAGAAATTTTTCTAATCACAGTTTAATTTATGCAAATATTAATGACCATATCCCGCTGAACCAATTAATTATTAGATTATTTTCACACAGGTCACTAATTAAGTAAATTTCATGGCTGTTCTGCTATTGGTCATGTTAGGTTTTCATATATTTCCATTTTACAGATATTTATCTCATGACGTCATTTGACAGATGTTGCGTGTTTAGGTGACGTCATAGAGACACGAAAAGTGGTCGCGTAACATTCTAAGCCGCCCTTTGCATTATCTGTCACACTCGTTTCAAAAGCAGACCTGGTGTTTTCAGTCAACTCACGATCAGCAAAGCTGACTGTTTTGTTTTTTGTCAAGGCGTGAGGCCGCAAGTATAGAATTAGAAAAAATATGTTCTGTTCTTCATATTAAGACAGACGCGATGTTACTTGTTAGTAAAGGAGGTCGACATAGCAACAAAGACTCGAAGGGAAACTAAGACAATATTTCTATTTTTAGTCTTGAACACTTAGTTTGAAGGAGTAGATTGTTATGATCATTGTAGCAGTTGTTTCGAGAACGAAACGAATGATGTAGAGTTACGCAAAGAAGGATTGAAAATAAATTTGGAGGAAGATAACTACAAAATCTCCTGATTCAGCTGATACTCTTAGCTGGACTGCACGTGTTGGGGGAAACCTGGGAAACTAGAATTTTGTCCTTGGGTGCAAAGTACATGCATGAGCGACATAAATGAACTCGAAGCTGAAAAGCCTAATTGGACTTTGGATTAATGAAATTTCATTCCTCTTCTGATATTAAATTAATAAAGGCTGATAGTTTCGAAAGAAACTGTTTGGGGCTGCGTCGTTGGGAGTAACGAAATAATTTGGATATATCAACAAAGTTGAAGTGGTAAATTGGCCACCGTAACGATTACAAAAGCTGACGTTTCGAGCGTTAGCCGTTCGTCGGAGCGACGAAGGGCTAATGCTCGAAACGTCAGCTTTTGTAATCGTTACGGTGGCCAATTTACCATTTCAACTTTGTTGATATATCCACATTATATGATATTAAATTAGCCAATTGGAAGAACGATTTCCAATTTTTAAGGAAGTAGCCCATTGATGGAGTTTAATTGGCTTGATAACTCAGAATACCCAGCGGAAAGAATGCGCATGCCTTTGGCTGTGCGTTTCTTTTTGTTATCATACCCACCATGCCACCACATGCAAGAATATCAATGAACTCAACCTAAGTATCGAACCACGGCAAATTATTTTGAAACTTAAGGTAGAACTTATCTATATTTACGTCAGCTGAAAAAATTAAATCCTTCCTTGCGAAACCAATGAAGGGCAGTTTTAATCAAGTAGTATCTGTTTCGTTTAGTAAATAGGCTTTGCCTTTGATGACAGATATATTTTAATTAACACAACTCGTGATTGACATTAATTCCTTACAATGATTTAAAAGTGTTTGCTTGTCGTGTTTTAAACCAGTTTTTTCAGAAGAATCAATAAGAGAGAGAAGTCGATTTTTATATCTGTTCGCTTACCCGAATCTGCTAACCTGAAGTGAGAAACTTGTTTTTACGACCCGCCACAGAAGTAAGTTTCCAATCATGTTTTTCTCGAATTTTTCTGCGAGATTAAGACTTAATTTGTGTTTTAATGATTTCCAATTACAAATCAAGTGTATTTCTCTTAGATCGAATAATTATTAAAGCTTGCATGGATAATATTATACGGTTTGTGGTGGTCGTCTGAGCTGACCAGTTCCGAGTATGGCAACATTTCAGTATCGAAAGTAGCCGAAGATGGAAATAAAATTTAAAAATATACGCAATAACAATGAACAGATTCTCAAAAATTACATATAAATCTTGGAAGTAATTCTCATACGGAATTTCAGTTAAACGATATTTGGTAAGTGGCAGGTCCTCTACGGGGATGCCCCCTATAGAAGGGAAGACTTTCTCGTTCAGGAACTACAGCTATGTGGGTTTGTAAAAGGATATGAATTTCACCGGATGATGTGTAAAGGAAAGCAAGGAAAAGTGATTGTTGACGACGTCTGCTCTCAGTTAGGGTTGACCTATTCAAGACTCTGTGGCTCGGTCATAATAGGGACCTTATGAAACCACGACGGCGACGGCAACGAGGACGTGGAAAAACAAGATCGAGATCTAATTGGCAGAACAATAGCTCAGCACGCGCATTTTGAAACTTTGTACATTTCGTAGCCGTCCTATGCAAAACAACAACGTGAAATCGCCAAAATTTCCGTCGTCTGCGAACCGAAACCGCGACGGCAAATTATTTTAATTTCCATTTGGAACTCAAAGGCTACTTTATACGTCGTGCTGAAGTTGAGCTGTGGCGCTGTATGAGACAGTAGGCTCTACAGCCATTTTAGAAATTCTGACTAAGAGTAGAAATTCATTTTTTAACCGAAGTCTTCCTTGGCGTCGCCGTCGTGGTTTCTTAAGGTGCCTAACGTCATGTCAATGGTCCGAAGTCACAAGACCTCAAAACCATGCCTGTAGTGGGTCCTATTCCAACTCAAGCCTGAGACTTTTCTGCTCCACTACAACTGAGGGTGTTAGTTTCGGCAAATCAGCTGCTCATAATAATGAAGTACTTGATCTATTGAGCACCGATACTCATAAATAAAGGGGGTGAGTTTCTAAAGAAACTGTGGTACTGCGTTGGTGTAAAGGGGGGGGGGGGAGAAGTTGGGGGTTTAAAAATAATTTTGCTTTTATCAAGTGAGTTGATAACGTGAATTAGCCACCGTAAAGAGTTTCAAAGCTGACATTTCGAGCGTTAGCCCTTCGTCAGAGCGAGTGGTGAAAGGCTAATGCTCGAAACGTCAACTTTGAAACTCTTCACGGTGGCAATTTACAGTTAACAAAAGAGCCCCATGTCAACAATTCTATGCAAATTGTATAATGTAATTTGTTCTGTCACGCGTTGTGTGGCTCCCAGGCTGATCGGGCATGTCTTGTAATTTTAGTTGTTAAACTGAGTTGTTATATTAAGTCGCTGGCGGTGTAAATATATTTTTGATTCACCAATTAAAAATTGCTAAATAAGTCACAATGACAGTACTGGAGACGGCCTCCTTTTCTTTTTGAGAAATTAAACGGACAAGACTAATGAACCAGAACATAATTTGTAATTGTGGTTTTTGTATAGAATAAAAGCATCAGAGGAATACTGGAAAAGAAAACGCAAAATATAAAATTTTATCTCTGGATGAATATTTTGAAGATGCACAGTAATAATATATTTAAAAAATCCCCTCTTTCTTGAACTAGACAATGAAAAAGTATTTAGAGTCTGTTCTCTACTTATTCTGTTTAACTCATCTATCCAAAAGTCTCCTAGCTCTGTCTCCTTAGAGTCAATCTCATCATTTAACTGTCAGGGTCTTTTTTCCTGTAACGAATGAAATAACAACAAATTGTAAAACAAAATACGGTCACACCAGGCGCAATAGGAAAACAAGTGGTTTCTGCTTATATGTATATTTGATTGGTCGAGAGGCACTTTCGAGATTCTACATTTTACACCAATTTTACGTCAATTGTTACTCTCCAAAACTAGGCAAATTATCAAACTAGTCTTTAAATTCAAAGTCCCCGACTGGTAAGCCATAGCCATGATTAAAAAGTCATATAATAATTCTCAATAAAGAAACGACAACTTTAAATTTAAATTTACAAGACATGTTTCGACATTCTCATGTCATCTTCAGTTGCAAATGAGCTTTTAATGGTTGTACATTTAAATTTATAATAAGGTGCGTTGCAAATTACGTGTCCGGACAATTGGAATATTAAATATGCGTAAAATGAAAATAGCTCGCGCATAACTAGACCAAAAAAAATCATAATAATAATAATAAATAAATTAATAATAAAATACAAAAGAAACAACATAATCAAATATAATAATATAATAATATAATATAATATTATAATAATAATATCTAATACTTTTTGTGAATGAATCTTACCTCTCCTTGCCAAAATCCAGCCTCATATCATCTCCAATCAGCGTAAACGAAGCCCATTCAGACACTTTGGTAAAGCCGTTATTTCTCATCCACTTCTTGGCATGATGAAGAGATTCACTGGCACTTTTTCCATCAACAAGGTGTTCGTAGAACTGACTCATCAGCCGCTGCGTAGGTGAGTCTGGAATGGCCCAAAGTGCAACTAACACCGAGCGAGCATCAGATCCAAGGAACGCACGGGCAATTCCAATAACTCCCTCTGCCCTAATCTGTCTATTTCCACTGTGACAACAGCTAAGTACCACCAGTTTAGCTCTGACTTTCAGTCGTGAGACATCAGCCATGTTCAACATATAAGCTTCTTTTGGTGGGATAGTGTTTGGACTGTTGGGAGTAGCAATTGGGGAAAGTGCAATTTCTCCTCTTTCTGCGTTACCATTGGCAGCAAAATGTATCAGGCTCACTGAACTTATCCTTTCAAGTACCGCCTCCATTGTTGCTTCCCCTTCTACCAGGGGCGGAACGCCCACCAGTCGTCCGACCATCTCCGCTTCCTTTCTAGCACCTGACAATGGCAGCAGCCAATCAACCTTGGGATTGCCTATTATCAGGGCACCAGTATTGCTGTGATAGTCCTCAGGGCTGTCATGAATGATCTTGAGTGTCGTCAAAGAAGGAATGACACGGATCCTACGAGTCTCAGAGAGGTATTCGGCTCCCTCCTTTGCACTCAGGGCAGCGAAGGGAACTTTGTACAAAGTGCGGTCAGGAACAATAGTGACTTCAGACTCCTCAAGCAAATCATAAACTGGGGCAATAAAGATTTTTTAACACAACGATAGACTTAAAATGACTTCCTCGTCCTCCTCCACCAGTCGCAATCTTGGGGAGCTCTTTTTCTCAGGGATAAGAGATTGCAATTCGACCACATTTAAAGACCGATCTTTATAATCTTCAATAAGCAAAATACCAAGACTCCGGAAATTATCAGCCAAAAATTTACTCAAAGGCAAATCTTTGGACAAGCCAGCTTGAACAAGATTCTCTTCTAGTGATATTCGTTTAAAATGAATGGCTCCATTTGTTTTCAAGATCCACAAATGCACTTCATTTTCACAATAATAAGCAATGTAAAGACAGGTAAAGTCATTTTCCTTTCTCAAATGTTTTCAATGCTAAACCAAGATTGTGGATTAGCAGAGATGTGCGTTTCAGCCGAGTACTTCTTGGTCATCAAGTCTGATTGGCCTCTAGCTCGACCCAACTCCTCAACCAAGTACTTCTTGGCCATCAAGTCTGATAGGCCTCTCGCTCGACGTAACTCGTCAACATAAAGAGCGTCACCAACATTTCTGGTGACACAAAGTAAACTACTTAGCAGCTTGTAGGGATAAATTCCTGAGTCTTCTTGAAACGATGGTTTGAACTGATCATTGACGCCCAAGAAATATCTCAACTCCTCATACTTTTCAATGCATAGATGAAGACACGAAGGGGAGCCTTTGTTTTTTTTATTTTAGATAGATACAAAATGGCATAATATTGAAGGATTTGGAACTCTTTTCTTCTATCTCCAGTTTCTCTGGATATGGATAATGCTCTCTCTAAGCATACTTCAGAAGCTTCGTGATCTAGCTCTGAGAATTCTAGAAAGGTTTGCAAGATCTGCTGCTTCCCCTTCTTTATTTCCAATTTCAGTTTTGATAACAAGCGCTTTTCCAAAATGCTCTTTAGCTTTGTCGCATTTCCCGAGAGATTGAAACAAATTACCTAGGTTTCCGTAATCGGCTGCCTCTCCTTTTCTGTCGCCAATTTCAGAATTGATGTTAAGCGCCTTTTCGTAATACTCTTTAGCCTTGTCGTATTGCCCGAGCGACTGAAACACAGTACCTAGCTTTCCGTAATGGGCTGCCTCTCCTCTTCTATCGCCAATTTCAGAATTCATGTCAAACGCCTTTTCATGATACTCTTTAGCCTTGTCGTATTGCCCAAGCGACTGAAACACAATACCTAAGCTTCCACGATCGGCTACCTCTCCTCTTCTGTCGCCAATTTCAGGATTGATGTCAAGCGACTTTTCGTGATACTCTTTAGCCTTGTTGTATTGCCCGAGCGACTGAAACACATTTCCCAGGTTTCCATAGCCAGCTACTTCTCCTTTTCTGTCGCTAATTTCAGTATTAATGACAAGCGCCTATTCGTGATATTCTTTAGTCTTATCGTATTGGCCGAGCAACTGAAACACAGTCCATAGGTTTCCATAGTTAATTGCCTCCCCTTTTCTGTCGCCAATTTTAGTATTGACTTGAAAAGCGCTTTTTCGAAATACTCCTTAGCTTTGTCGTATTTCCCGAGCGATTGAAACACAATACCTAGGTTTCCGTAATCGGCTGCCTCTCCTATTCTATTGCCATTTTCAGTATTGATGCCAAGCGCCTTTTCATGATACTCTTTAGCCTTCTCGTATTACCCGAGCGATTGAAACACAATACCTAGGTTTCCATGGCGAGCTGCGACTCCTTTTCTGTCGCCAATTTCAGAATTCATGTCAAGCGCCTTTCCGTGATACTCTTTCGCCTTCTCGTATTGCCCGACCGACTGAAACACGATACCTAGGTTTCCATAGCCAGTTGCCTCCCCTTTTCTGTCGCCAATTTTAGTATTGATGAAAAGTTCTTTTTCGAAATACTCCTTAGCTTTGTCGTATTGCCCGACCGACTGAAACAGTTCCTAGCTTTCTGTGGTCAGCTGCCTCCCCTTTTCTGTCGCCAATTTTAGTATTGATGAAAAGTACTTTTTCAAAATACTCCTTAGCTTTGTCGTATTGCCCGAGCGACTGAAACACAGTTCCTTGGTTTCCGTAGTCAGCTGCCTCTCCATTTCTGTCGTCCATTTCAGTTCTGATTACAAGCGCTTTTTCGAGATATTCTTTAGCCTTGCTATATTTCCCGACCGACCTAAACACAGTACCTAGGTTTCCGTTCTGATGACAACCACTTTTCTGAGATACTCTTTAGCCTTGTCGTATTTCCCGAGCGACTGAAACACAGAACCTAAGTTTCCATAACATGATGCTACTCCTCTTCTGTCGCCAATTTCAGTTCTGATGACAAGCGCTTTTTCGAGATACCCTTTAGCCTTGTCGTACTGTCCGAGTGCATGAAACACAACACCCATGTTTTCGTAGTCGGCTGCCAGTCTCCTTTTCTGTTGCCAATTTCAGTTCTAATGACAAGCGCTTTTTCGTGATACTCTTTAGCCTTGTCGTATTACCCGCGGGACTGAAACACAGTACCTAGGTTTCCGAACACGGCTGCTTCTAGTCCTCTGTTGCCAATTTCAGTTCCAATGACAAGAGCCTTGTCGAAATCCTCTTTAGCCTTATCGTATTGCCCGAGCGACTGATACACAGTTCTTAGGTTTCCGTAGTCAGCTGCCTCTCCTTTTCTGTCGCCAATTTTCGTTCTGATGACGAGCGCTTTTTCGAGATACTCTTTAGCTCTGTGGTATTTCCCGAGCAACTGAAACACAGAGCCTAGGTTCCCATAGCCATTTGCCTCTCCTTTCCTTGGCGAATTTCCGTATTTATGAAAAGTGCTTTTTGGACACACTCTATAGCCTTATCGTATTGCCCAAGCGACTTAAACACAGTTCCTAGGTTTCCATAGTCGGCTGCCTTCCCTTTTCTGTCGCCATTTTCCGTTCTGATGACAAGGTAGGGGCGAGGAATTTTGTTGAATGACGATATTTTGAATGTCCGGGAACTTTCGAACGCTTAGTCATAATAGAAGGTATGTCATTAAATAACTATGCATAGTAGAAGTTGAATAATCATTTTTGTTGGGTAAAAAGTTTGGACTGAAGTTGAACAATTAATTTTGTTGAGTAAAATAAATATAGCTACTGAAGTTGAATAAATATTGTTGTTGAGTGAAAATAATTTTGGTTGAATATGAAAAGAAAATGCGTGTCGTTAAACATCAATATAAAATGTTGAATATAACTGTAAACTGTTGAATAAAAATATATTTTGTTGAGCATAAATATAAGTTGTTGAATATAAATATGCAAGTTGTTGAATTTTGCAACATTTGGCTAACCATAGACTGAGGGAACGCTCCTAGGTTTCCGTAACAGTATGCCCCTCCACATTTGTCGCCGATTTCCGTTGTTATGGCAAGGGCTTTCTCAAGATACTCTTTCGCTATTAGGTTTTCGCCAAGTTTATGGAAGATAATTCCGAGTCTAGCACAGGCGTTTCCTTCTCGAACTTTTTCACCAGTTTGTCTCTTTATATTTACTGTTTTTTCATAAAGTTGCGTAGCTTCTGTAAGCCTGATTTGACTCTCAATTATGTCTGCAAGAGCCATGCTTATTTCTCCCTTTCCTACTAAGTCACCAGACTCATTGTATAGGACAAGTAGTCTCCTGCCGTATATTTCTTCATTTATGAAATCAGAGATACGACGATAAGCTTAGAAGAGAACTTTATAGATGGCGCCGTAGGGCAGTAAAATGAATTGGTTTTCTCTGTTTTGGTTGGCGTTATTTAGCAAAATCAAGCGTTCGCTGCACATCTCAATGGCTTTCTGAACGCGGTTTGAGTTTAGCAGGAACACAGCTACAGGGAAGGCTATGCTCACGAAAGTTATCACGGCTTCTACCGTTAGGTTTTCCATTGATATCCTCTCCGACCTGTTTTTTCATCCATATTAGGGAAACAATTAAGTAACATAAGTTAACTAAATGATCAGATAATCTGGATTGGTTGTGATTTACTACGAACAGGAAGTTAGATGTGACCTTGAAAAAAGAGCTGGGTCGATTAGTTTTGGTAACGAGGCTATGCTCATGGAAGTTATCAGGGCCTCTACGTTGGGTTTTCCATTGCCATCCTTTTCTGTTACTTGATCCAAATTAGATAAAGAAAAATCATTTTTAGTAAAACAAGTCAACCAATGACTCGATAAAATGGATTAATTACGAGTCACTACGAACAGGATGCTATATGTGAACTTGAAAGAACGGGTTGGTTTGATTGCTTAGTACCGAGCTGAAAGTGTTAGAATTCACAATATCGACTTTAAAATAAGAAATAAAAGGGAAAGGGGCTTGGATTGGTAAAAGGGGAGAAATCAACCGATTACATTCGGTGAAACATGTAAAATAAGCTTGACCATTTTTTTGAAACGGACTGTGCGACTGTTACGCGGTAAAAGTGAACTGTTATACAAGCAAAAGTATGATGCGCACTTAAGCTTGACTATTGATCACGTGTTGGGGGTTGCGTCATTAAGTGAGGGATTTTGAAAGGTCCTGGGTTTCTTGAGAAACAACGAGGATTGATAAACTTTTAAGATGTTCCGGGGAACATGCCTGCGAATATTTTGAGAAATATTAAAATTTGAAAAGGGTCTTCCGCAGTTTATGACTAAGTAATAACCTTACTTATGAGATAAATATAACTGAAAACGAATCGATTCTTAGCTGATGAGCAAGTTGGACAAAATGTGATGTCACAAAGGTTTGAAGAGGTCCGGCTTTGTGGCAAGTGCACTTTACTTCAGAGGCGATTTTTACAGAACATGATATGACTTTATAGTCACAGCACAGGACAGAACAAAACAACATTCATGTTGGCCTCCATAATTGAAAAGTTAATTAATATGCTATAAGTAATTGTTAAGTCAAGTCAGTCGGCACTTTCAACACCGCAAATATCGTCTGACATCATCAAGGGTCAGCATTATACGTATGCTTAAAAGAGGATAGATCTTTGTTTTTGGTCACGTGATTTTGGGAACCAGTTTCTCAAATAAAACGATTCTAATGAGGTTAAAATAGCCGTAACTGGTTTGAAGAAAGCAATTAAATCAATTTAACGGTGGAGTGAAGAAGCATCCATCCAGCGGAAGAGTACACTAGCCCATTGCAACGAATTTAAATAAGTTTCAGTTTCTTAAAGAAAGTTAAATCAAACTATCTGCGTCAGCGTTCAATGATATAGACTGTCTTATCTCCTTAGGCGAGATTTAGGTGTTTTGGCAGCGCTAGACAGAGATACAGATCAAGTCCTTTACAAAAATTCTGTACCGTGACTGAGAACCACTTATTTCCAAAATATTTTAGTGAAAAGTATCTCGGGTATGAAATGCGTGTGTACGTATGATGCACGATCCTTCGCAGTAGATAGCGCTATTTATGCAATAGCGAAAATCAGACCTGAAAAAAATCAGGCCTGTACGGGATTCGAACTACTGACCTCTGCGATACTAGTGCAGCGCTCTACCAATTGAGCTAACAAGCCAACTGGGAGCAGGCCGTTAAGTTGATTCGTAATAAACCCGTAATGATAAATCAGATACAATGAATATATGAACCTCATATATTCATTGTAACCAAATGCGTGTGTATAGGTAGGTAGAAAACAAAAACTCGATTCGTATCTAATGAGATCTTTCGTTGAGCTCTCCTAAAAACAAGGCTAATTTAATAACGATGCCGATCATAGCCACTGGAAAACTACGCGATTAAGCACCTCGGATTTGCTATGATATCAGGGACAGTCCACAGTGAGGAACAATCCACAACATAAATAAGTCTGATTTTAGTTTTTTAATCATCAGTTTCTCAAATTGAAAGATACTCAATAACCTTAGCCAATGAGCCAGAGGATGATTATCAATTATAAATTATAAAGTATAAATCCACAAAGGCTTGAAAAAGTCGCTATCGAACGAATTTATTTCACGGTGGCGGCGACTTTTCACAGCGAGGCATAACTACATAGTACACGCACAAATATCGAAAAAACAGTCACTAAGCAACGATAGCTGATGAAAATGGAGTGACTATAAAAGATTGTTGATCGCACTTACTAAAATGTTGACTATGTGGCTAATGTTTTCAAAACTGATGAAACAACCAAAAATAAGGATTTGTAGTCAGGACTTTTCCCAACCTTCCAAAACTTCCGCCATCACAGTGTTTTGGGGATCCAGACCACTTGCGTTTTAGGGGATAATTATTCCCTCCTCTTCACCCCCCCCCTACCTCCCTCCCCCCACCCCTTCGTGGGCTAATCGAAACTAAGGAAAAGGTTCAATGCGAAACTTTTTTTCGCACTCGTGTACCTGGCTATTGCGTCCTAATATTAGTGTTCGACTCTTATGGTCTTGATGATAAAAGGCTTATTGAGTGAGTATAGTCGGGGTGGACGCAGAAATATTTGGCTTTCAGCCATGAACCACGAACCTGGCTGCACTTGGTCTGTAAGTGATGACCTCGAGCCAATATTTTCCCATCCGACCCTCCCACTCGATTAGTCAATAAGTACATAACATTTCGGTTTTGTATGTAACACATTTT